TCTAAAGTTGCACAAATATAAAGTAACAACTTACATTGAACTCAGGTCCTTCAGCCCTGTATCTCATGCTTTTTCCTTTGACAGATTCTTAACAATAATAATAATAATAATATGCATTTGTGTGGTGCTTTAAGGTTTGGGGTTTTTTTAGAATTTTTTGATGTTTATTTTTGGGGCACTTGAGGTTAAGTGACTTGCCCAGGGTCACACAGCTAGTGTCAAGTGTTTGGTCTGAGGCCAGATTTGAACTCAGGTCCTCCTGACTTCAGGGCTGGTGCACTATCACTGTGCTACCTAGCTGCCCCCTGGTGCTTTAAGATTTACAAAGTGTTTTTTATTTCTCATATTATCTCATTTCAACCTTACAACAGCCCTAAGAGATAAGAAATAATATTATTATTATTATTCCCTTTTTATAGATGAGGAAACTGAGGCAGACAGAGACTAAATGACTTGCCCAGGGTCATGCAGCTAGTAAGTGTCTGAGGCTGGATCTGGAGTCAGGTTTTCCTGACTCCAGGTCCACCTAGCAGTGCCACTTAACTGTCTTCCATTTGTGAGTTAGTTATAACAATGATACTCTGAATGCTGAAAGTGAAGCCTGCTAGGTTAAAAGCTTAGTTACATGACTATGTTGAGGAAATAGAACTACTCATCCTAGCAGCAGAACCACAGCAGGCTAGTGTGAGGAGAAAATTAAGAGACAGGTGCAATAAAGGAAGATGCCCTTGCCCAGCTGTAGAAACCAATACGACATAGTTCATGAGCCCTCACCTATGTTTTCTCCTAATTCTTGTAATTAGTTCAAATCAAAGGCATTTCATGAAGTAGTATAATAAGAAAAATAGCAATAGAACATTTCTTCCATAAACCTAGGGCACAGTCTCCTGCAACTTCATTTATTTGTTTGTTTGTTTATTAATTTTGAGTTATCAATAATCACTTCCATAAGTTTTTGAGTTTTTAATTTTTCTCCCTCTCCTTCCCTACCTCCCTCCCCAAGACTGCATGCAATCTGATATAGGCTCTACATATACATTCCTATTAAACATGTTTTCACATTAGTCATGTTGTAAGGAAAAATTAGAACCAATAGGAGGAACCACAAGAAAAAAGAAACAAAACAAAACAGAAGGGAAAAAAAAGAACAAATAGTATGCTTCCATATGCATTCAAACTCCATAGTTCTTTCTTTGGATGTGGATAGCATTTTCCATCATGAGATGTCTTAGGTGCTTGCATTGCTGAGAAGAGCTAAGTCTACCAAAGTTAGTCGTCGCACAATGTGGCTGTTTCTGTGTACAATGTTCTCCTGGTTCAACTCACTTCACTCAGCATCAATCCATACAAGTATTTCCAGGTTTTTCTGAAGTCTGTCTGCTCATCATTTCTTATAGCACAATAGTATTCCATTGCATTCATGTACCACAACTTGTTCAGCCATTCTCCAATTGATGGACATCCCCTCAATTTCCAATTCTTTGCCACCACAAAAAGAGCTGCTATAAATATTTTTGTACATGTGGGTCCTTTTCCCATTTGTATGATCTCTTTGGGATACAGCCCTAAAAAGTGCTATTGCTGGGTCAAAGGATATGCACATTTTTATAGCTGTTTAGGCATAGTTCCAAATTGTTCTTCAGAATGGTTGGATCAGTTCACAACTCCACCAACAATGCATTAGTGTTCCAATTTTCCCACATCTTCTCCAATGTTTATCATTTTCCTGTTTTATCACATTGGCCAATCTGATAGGTGTGATGTGGTACCTCAAAGCTGTTTTGATTTGCATTTCTCTAATCGATAGTGATTTAGAGCATTTTTTCATATGACTATAGATAACTTAAATTTCTTCATCTGAGAACTGCCTGTTCATATCCTTTGACCATTTATCAATTGGGGAATGACTTGTATACTTATAAATTTGACTTAGTTCTCTATATATTTTGGGAAATGAGGCCCTTATCAGAGATGCTGGTTGTAAAAATTCTTTCCCAGTTTTCTGCTTCCCTCCTAATCTTGGTTGTAATGGCTTTGTTTGCGCAAAAACTTTTCCATTTAATGTAATCAAAATTATCCATTTTGCATTTCATAATGTTCTCTATCTCCTGTTTGGTCATGAAGTCTTCTGTTCTCCATAAATCTGACAGGTAAACTATTCCTTGCTCTCAGTTTGCTTATAGTATCAGCCTTTATATCTCTTCTGCAACTTCGTATGTAATTAAGGAGAAGAATGTACATGCCTAGGAAAAAGATGTGAAAAGGCTACCCAAGAAGAAAGATACAAACATCAGGAACATGTCTTCATGTGTGCCTGTAGACAGGTACATACTTAGAAGACATGTTACCAAGACACACATGTGTATGGGCTCTTTATAGCTCTGTGTGAGACCACTAATGTCATCACATTACAGGGCCTTCATTTAGCTAGACTCCCTCAGAACATTTGTTTTTATATTTTACCTGAGGAGCAGTTGTGTCTATTAATGGCTATAGTCCCTGCTTTCTTTTTAGGCAGAAGTTGGTAATTTTATTTGTTGTTTTTTATTCACTGCATTTATTTGTCATATTTATACAATGAATTTTATTGCTGCTTTGGACAGATGCAATAAAATTAGTTGTTTTCATTGTGGTCATTGTGAAGTTTTAAAAATTATTTTCATGCAGGCTATTTGTACAACTAATTTTATTGTGGGGAAGCTAGGCGGTACAGTGGATAGAGCTTCAGGCCTGGAGTCAGGAAGACTCATCTTCAAATCTGTTCAAATCAGGCCTCAGACACGTATTAGCTGTGTGACCCTGAACAAGTCACTTAACCCTGTTTACTTCAATTTCTTCATCTACAAAATGAGCTGGAGAAGGAAATGGCAAACCACTCCAGTATCTCTGCCAAGTAAATCCCAAATGGGGTCATAAAGAGTTGGATACAAATTAACAACAACAATAACAAGAATTTTGTTTGGCTAATCTTAAGATTGATGCTAGTCCAGGCTCCACTGGGCACATAGTTGAGGAACTTCTCTCTCCTTCCAGCTTATGGAATCAGCTGGAGTCTTTAGCTGGGTGTTATCTTTTCCCCTAAGCATAAGAACGGGCTGTATCATCTCTCTTTAAGCTTAGGAAATGGACACCTAAACTTCATCTTTTTTAGGGTCAAGCTAGATGACTCAGTGGGATAGAGTGCTGGGCTTGGAGTCAGAAAGACCCAAGTTAAAATCCAGCCTTCAAATCTGAGTAACTCAGTACGCCTCAATTTTCTGAACTGTAAAATGGGAGTAATAATAGTACCTACCTCCCAGAGTTGTTATGAGGAGCAAATGAGATAATATTTGTAAAGAGCTTAGCACAGTGCTTGCCACATAATAAGCGCTTATAAATGCTTGTTTCCTTCCTTTTCTCCCTGAATCAAGAGGGAATTTTGTCAGTTATCAAGATACTATGGGTATCTTTGCTTTCCAGAAGGCAAATCTTCCCTTCTAGAAGGCAAGTTCTTTTGGAATACAGAGCAGTCAGCCAGTTAAGTACATCCTGAGGGCAGTAATTTGTCTTTGAATCTCCTATGTCAACATACAACTATCCCATTTGGAATTAAGAAATTCCTTGTGTAACCTCTTGCTCCAGGCTTTCCAGTTTGGTAATCATTGCCAGGTAGACTCGGGATGCTGGACATAACTATGGCAACCGAGCAGACTTTTGCCAGGGTAAACAGGACCCATGACATTTGGAGAAGGAGCACGTGGAAAATCCATCTTGGCAGTGAGAGGGCAGCCACCATGCTGGGAGTGTGACCAGGGGATGGGATTGCTTCTGGGGCAGAGAACTGGGAGGAAGCCTCCCTAACAGACGCAAGGAGAGACCAAAATGCAATGTGGTGATGAAGCTGTAAGTGTCACCACTGGAAGGGGCAGGTCATGGTAGGCTGGTGAGCCTCATACACAACACGCCCTTGACATCCTCTTTTCCTCTCCCTTTGTTTCTGGCTGAGTAAACTACCTAACTCTTTACTTCCTTGTTCCCCTCCCATCCGGACAAGGGAGGAAAGAAGGAGGAGTTCATTCTGCTCCCCACCAGCTTCAGCTCCAGTTAAGCATGCCAGGATGTGTCAGAGGTGGGATTTGAACCCAGGTCTTCCTGGCTTTGAGGCCAGCACTCTATCTACTACCTGCGAGGCCGAAGGTTCCCCACCCCATTACACAATTCTGCCTCGCTCATCCTACACATAGGCTACAATAATCATAACAACTGACATTTCTGTAGCTTTTTAAAGTTAACATACCTTATCTGATTTTAGCCTTATGCCCTGTGAGGTAATGAAACAGAGAAGGTAAGTAATTTACCTGTGGCCACAAATGTGAAATTTGAACCCTGAACTTCCTGGCTCTGAATACACTTCTACACCACGTTCCCAAAACCTGACTTGAACTCTTAGTGCCCTGCCCCAATTATTTTCCCTAATCCAAATATAAACATCTGGGACATTTACATTGTCAGGCTTTCTCAACACATTTTGTGGTACATAATATCTGGAATTACACAAGCTATCTGGAGCTAACCAGTCTGAAGCTATCTTTCTGTCTGAGCTCCTTAACCAATCTCCTCCTATCAGAGCATCATCGTTTTGTATTATATAACTGCATTGGCCTTCCTTGGGCAGCTAGGTGGTACAGTGGAGAGAGCATGAGCCTGGAGTCAAAAAAATCTAAGTTCAAATTAGCCCTCAGACAGTTACTAGCTGTATGACTCTGGGCTAGTCACTTAACCCTGTTTGCCTCAGTTTATTCATTTGTAAAAATAAGCTAGACAAGGAAATGGCAAACCAGTATCTTTGCCAAGAAAACCCAAAAGGGGTCACAAAGAGTTAGACATGACTGAAACAAATGAACAGCACAAATCGGACACCCCTATTAGAATCATCTCCATGATCCTTTTCCTTTGGGTCTTTGGGTTTGCTGGTGACCATACACAACCAATTTGGAGCAAAGGGGTGAATAAAATAGTACCTCTGAGGGGTCCTGAAGCCAGGAGCCTGGACCTGGGAGGGTTGTAGAGACCTTAGGAGAGAAAGGAGGGTTCTCTTTAGACCCGGAACTACTAGGAGGTAGGATTCTCAGGTTATCCCACTTCAACTATAGCAATGCATCTCTTTTTTCCTCTTTGAATTGTCATAGATCCTTGGAGATCACCTCCTGTCTTTGAGTTTCTTTAAAACTGGAAGAGAAACCCTCAGTATCAGAGACTATAAGTAAGGAATTCCCCCTGGCAGCTGGCATACTGAGAGCTGACCTCTGGATAGAACAGTATAAAGTTAAACTTCTGGACCTTGGTTAGTTACAGGAGAACCAGATTTCACATACAAATTCTATCCAGACATAGTATCTGCTGCCAGGTATTTGTTGCCTCATGGTTTTCATCCAGTTATCAGAGCCATAAAAGATATTTGACCGGTGTAGGGGAAATTTGGAGGGAGGGAAGAGACTGCCCTAGGCCAGGCCTGCTGGCTCAGGATTGGAACCAAATGAGACATTTATAAGCCATTAGACGTTTGTTTAATAATAGCATGGGAAGGCTATCTAGCAAAGCTGCAGCTGCATTTGAGGTGGGTAAGGATCCCCTCCTCTGCCTAGGAGGAAGGCCAGTTAGGGCTGACTCACATGGCAAAAAGGGTTCCATCAAGCCTAAGGGGCTGACTTCTTGTGGGCTAGGATTTTTATGCCCTAAGCAATGCAGAAGCTGCTTCGGTGGACTAATTTTATCTCAAGGACTATTTCCTTCCCTTTTTGGAAAAAAAATTTAGCCTAGACTACTTGAAGTAGATGTTGCTCCTGCCACAGGGAAGATAGCAGACTCTGATAGCACATTAAAAATACACAGCCAAACATATCACCCCTGCACTTGGGCCTGTGGAAGCCCAGATAAGAAGGTAACTTCATCCCTTGTTTGAGAAGTCCTTCCCAACTTCTTGACCATCAGCAGTAAATAGGTTTCTGGGGTCTCCAAAGCCAGATAGGCAATGGGCTTCCTTCCCCTACTCATCTTCTCTCTTCTTCACATACTTAGCTACTTTATAAAGACTGTGAACTAACAATGCCCGGTCTCTGCCACACATAACCTTGAACTGTGAAATAACTCAGATTATCAGGACTGGCCCCTACCCGAAGGACAACTGCAAACTGCCTGCATCCCATTTTCAAAGCTGATAGGGTTGGACTTTAATCTGAGAGTCACAGGAATGCAAAGATCCTGGTCTTCTTGGTTTAAAAATTGAACCTGCCCAGACTGGAATTCACAAAGGGACAGCTGCAAATTGACTCTTTCCTTATGGCAAGCAATATGAGGAATGCAAGGCCTCGGAGCATTGGAACACCAAGCTCTGGGGAGTGTCCTCTCAACATTAATCTACATGGGGTAGGTTAACACACCTAGACAGCTTTACAGCAATTAAGAATCAATCCACAAGCATTTATTAAACCAGTAACCGCAATTTTATTCTTCACGTCATCCTTAGCCAGAAGCTTTTCCACTTCATTTTCTTTTTGTTCATAGTTCTAAAATTAAATGCTGAGAGACCCAGAACAGACTCTGGTCACCTAATGGACAGAGACTGCTGCTATTTACAGATCTTAACATCAGACACAGCTAGTTGCATGCCAGCAAGCGGTACAGAATCATCCTTGTAATTATGTCCCCTCCAAGAGAATCCATAAACATACATCAAGTGCTTCCTCCACGCAAGCTGCTCACAAAAACTCATCTTTTTAACAATATTTCTCCAGAGACACTCTAGGACTGCAAACCATGCAGCACTACAATTTCTAAATAATTAAAACTGCCAGATAACCAAAACTTTGGAAGAAGAACCTAGTTCTTTAGGGGGAAATCACACCTCCCCTCTGGGGGAATGAGGGGATTCCTATGTCCTTCAACCCCCTTTAACTAGCCCTTCTGTGCTACCAGAGGTCACATACCTCAGAACCATTGCCTACCCCACACTGCCTTGGGAGCTGGCAAGTCAGTCTTTCCACCAGACAATGGTCACTACTCTTTGATTCCATCAGTTTTGATCCAAAGAAGTTCATTATTGGTAAAGGGGTGATAGAATGTATAGTACTTTTTTATATTTCTTTTTAGAACCATAGTATCTTGTTGTTTCTCCTGCTTGTCCTTTACCTTCTGTGATTTCATCTAGGATGAGCAGAAATTAAGTGATCAGGGGATACTGGAGGGATTTGCCATTTCCTTCTCCAGCTCATTTTACAGATGAGGAAACTGAGGCACATAGGGTTAAGTCACTTGCTCAGGATCACACAGCTAGCTGAGTGTCTGAGACTGGATTTGAATTCATGAAGATAAGTCTTCCTGATTTCTAGCCCAGTGCCTATACCACCTAGCTACCAATCTGGCATATAGTTAAATACTTTAGAAACATCAGCTATTATTATTGTTATTATTTTAAATTTTTTATTGTTTTTAACATTAATTTTTTTAAATTTTGAGTTCTGAATTCTCTCCCTTCCCCACTCATTGTGAAGGCAAGAAATGTGATATCATTTGCACATGTGAAATCAAGCAAAGCATATTTCCATATTAACCATGTTGCAAAAAAAATAAATAAAGCAAAAATAAAAAAATTAAAAAAACTATGCTTCAATCTGCATTCAGATTCCATTGGTTCTCTCTCTGGAGATGGATAGCATTTTTCATCATAATCAGAATCATCTTGGATCATTGTATTACTAAGAACAGCTAAGTCATTCACAGTTGATCATCATATAATATTGCTATTACTGTATATGATGTTCTCCTGTTCTGTTCACATTGTTTTGCATCAGTTCGTATAAATCTTTCCAAATGTTTCTGAAATCAACCTGCTTATCATTTCTTATGGCACAAGAGCATTCCATCACAATCATATACCACAGTTGTTCAGCCATTCCCTAATTGATGGACATCCCCTCAATTTCCAATTCTTTGCCACCACAAAAAGGGCTATTAGCTATTATTAAAGAACTCCATGAAGAGCTTGTAAGAGCTTTTCTGCATGTTCATTGTGTGGGCTCTCCCTAAAACATGTATATACAGCAATTGGGATCCCCTACAAATGTGGGTCCTAGGAAAAGCTCATATCGGTTTGAGATACTCTTTGATCTGCATCTAGGTTATGAGTTCTCAATAATATGTTTACCCTTACCAGCCTAGTAGAGGACATCTTCATTTCAGTGCGAAATCAGACAGTGTAGCACATTAAGTGATGAGAAAAGATACTTTATATATACATGAACCACGTCCTCCACAGGAGGTGGTGAAAGACATACACAGAAACACATATGATTAAAAACACATAGAGAGTACACACATAGGAACATGTACACATATATGGCCAAAGCAACTCATATTTCCACACAGAAACATATGTAGCTAGGGCAAATATGTATATATTTGTTTGCATGATGTCTCCCCTGTTAGATTGTAAGCTCCTTCAGGGCAGAAACTGCCTTCTTTTTGTATCTCATGGACATGGTAGGTGCCTAACACATAATAGATGCTTAATAAATGTTTATTTATTGATTGATGACCAGAACAACTCATGCCTCTGTTATTGCAGAGTTACAGATGTCCGCTGGTGAAGTAATCATGTTTCTCTCAACTCTTGATCACATCTATACCCTCCAGAGGACCAGACGTGACTGCTTAATGTCATGTCTCCACACTCTGTCTTGTCATCTTTGCTGAATATATCTGTCAGGCTCTGAGCAGCGCTATTCTAATATCTACTGGGCTACAGCTGTTTAGCCTCTTCACAGCTATATGCTACTTTTTGCTAACATCAATAGTACTGGAGTACAGTGTCTAGAAAGCTCCTTTCCAACAAGGGCTGGCTGATGCTCTTTTGGTAGTTATGAACTACCCATCCAGGCTAGACAATGCTAATAGAAACCTCCAGGCTAAAATTGACTGTTTTTTAAACTACTTTCTCCTGATTCCCACTGATGGTCCTTGGTCACAGACAGCTATCTGACTTGGGGTTAGAAAATGCCTTTAACTTTTGATGTCTCAGGTTTTGAGTGCTCATGATCAAATCCCATTTCAGCAGGCGGGCTGCTACAATTATCAAGATTCTAAGGGTAACCTGTGGGTGGCTACCCTCTTAACGCAAGCACCTAACTGTGCTTCCCCTTAACAATCAGCCAGTAGCCTCCATTCTTTAGCAAAAGCATTTACTCAAATGGCATAGGAAGAACCTAGTTACAAAGCACTTCCTCCAACTCCAGGGAAGTGCTCTGTTAAAAGCACACCCAGAGTCTGAACTGGGATGGAAAAGAATAGGCCTGACCTTAAAAGTACAATAGTAGTAAGGCATATATACATGTAGGAGACACAGAACACAGGCAACTCGGAAATACAGGGTCTCAATGTCCTTTCTTTATCCATAGTGTTTATGATGTTTGCTGTGTGTTACTGTCGGTAATGGCTGAAATGCTCCAGCGATACAGTGGGCTTTACTCTTCCAAGGGTTAGGTCTCACAAATGGACAAGGCCAGCCACTATTGGGCTGGATGGAACAGGTCACAACCACAGCATTCAGGTGGTGACAGGCATGCTATTCTGCTACTGAGTAGTTGCTGCCAGGGTGAGCTAGGCAGATTGCTTGACTGCTGGGCTCTTCTCAGAGCAGGTGTCTCTGCTGAATTAGATTATCAACTCCTTGTGGTCAGGGACTGTCTTTTGTATCCCCACTGCTTAACACAGTGACTGGCACATAGTAGGCACTTAATTCATTTTTATTAATTGATTGTGAATAAATCAATCTGCTAGACGCCTTGGGTTCTTCTATGGACAGCTGTAGTCTTTTCCACCTTCAGCCATGTTTTGGATGGGTGGGATTGTACTCTCTTCAACTGGAATGTTACTGTTCTCTTAACTAAAATGCTACAGAGCTGTTTCAGCTAGGGAATTGACTCTCTCAGAGGATCAATTCCTTTGTGTTTTGGCACTTATAGGCAGTGGAAGGGCAAAAATGTAGCCTTTCCGTACTCTCTCCTGGATTAACTCTTCCTCTCCCTCTTCACTTCCCAGGAAACCATTCCATTGCCTTATTGCCTTGGTGATCAGGTTCAATTCAGTCAGTTCTACTTCCCACATTCCTTTGGGAGTCTTAGGTAGATGAGTTGTTGCTCAATC